TGATAACAAAGTGGTATCTAATGACTCTACATGCAAAAGTGACATTTTCTTGAAATACTAGTTTTATATTCTGATGCAGAAAAGCTAGGTTAGTAGCAAAGGAAGTTGATAGATTTCAAAGGGAATATTAATTAGGAACAATTTGAAAGTCCAGCCAAAGATATGTTTAAATTGATGCTTTTCTAATGGAAATTAGTCTGCCATGTGTTTTCCTAAAATAAAATAACTGGATAAGATACTAAGTCTGCCTGTGTTCAAAGTAGACTTCGAACATTAAAAAATAATAAAATAAAAATTAAAGAAATTCTCTGCAGAGTGTGAAATGCCTGGTGTAGGGCTGGTGGCCCTTTTCCCAGCAGTGTTGCTCTTGGGGCTTGGAAACACACAGGAGGGGCTTATTCGAGTTCTTGTGTTTTTCTACAATGCTTTGAGCAGCAAGATACTGATTCCTTTGTAGCTTATTCAGATCTGAGTTAGCACGAGCTGTGTGCTAAAGGAGAATGATACCTTCCAGTGCTTTTGTCAAGCTGGCAGCTAACTTCTTGTGGGAGGAGCAGGTGGGGCTGGGAAGAACACAAGTATGTGGCTTTCAAAGAAGAGAGGAGATGATATTTGGGACATCTGTGTGTGATACGGAGCTGGGAAGGGAGGAGATTGAAGAAGAACCAGTTTTCTAGTTACATGTTTGCCTCTTTCTTTTATTTCATGTTACAACCCTTTGTCAGCTGTGATACAGTGTTCTTTGGTGTCGCTTAGAGCTGTGGTTGATTTATGCCAGTTGAGAATCTAGTCCATAATTCCTAAGGATGAAGCCTTATTCACCACTACAGAGGTTATCTTTCCTGGCAGGTCATTTCACACGTGTGGAGCCTTGTACCAAGGCACAGCACGCAGGTCTCCATGCACTTCCATTTGTGTATGTGGGAACATGCTTGATTTGTCATATGGCCGTGTGGCATTTTCAAACCAGAGCAGGATGTACAGCGTTGTGCGACTGAGACCCATGCTCCTTTGGTGGCCTCTGGAAGACCTAAAAGTATTAAGAAAATCAACTTTTGGAGTTGTTAATGAAACAGAGTGTTGTGGAATTAGTTTAGTGACGTGACAGACCTAAGAGGATTTTAAAATACTACATTTTTCCTTTCCTGGACCAAACTCAAATTCTTGGCTGGTAGGATGCTGCTCCTGCGTGTGGTTGTGTCGAAGGCCATGAGGCACACACTGGTCTGTCAGTGCTGGGTGCACCAGTTCCACTTTGCCATGCAAATGTGAGACGTGGTGAATGTTAATGGGCCTGGCTGCAGGCTCGCAGAGATTTTGCAGAAAATGAGACTTAGGCCTGATGCATTCAGTGTATCGTAGGAGCCTAAAGGCCTGCCAATCTTCTCAGTTTTGTTGGGAAAAGCACGTAGGTACATGGCATAAAGGAGACATCACAGTCTGAGGACACAGGAATGGCTGAGCTAGTAAGTGTTCTTTGATCTCAGTACATCTGTTGCCTTTGAGATAACTTCATGAAACACATAGACCCTTTGCACCATCCCCACAGCTCAGCCCTTATCACTGCTATGAAATAATCATGAGCTGGAAGAGTTTTCTCCGTACTGATGTTTAAAGGCAACTGTCAGGTGTCTCCCGTTGTGACTGGGATAACTACAGTCTCCGTGGATGGTTCTTAGCTGGTCTGAGTACTGCCTACTTATATTTGGATTTTATGCCCTTTGCTTTCCAGGCTTTTGTCTGATCCTGGGAAAGTGACCCCAAGGCAGGTTCTAACCCTTGACTCCCAGCATCAGAGTCTGCTCTGGGTCCTCCAGCTTCTTGCTCCACAAGTGTTTGCCCCACTCCCCTCTGCTTTGGTCTCTTCACTGAAGTTTGAGTGCTGAGAACGTACGGCAAGGGGTGAGATGAGCTCTTCCTGGCAGGGGCAGGTGGAGAGGGAGCACCCTGGTTGCTGTGATGGCTGTTTGCTCCTGGGGGTGCTGACATTGGGTGGGATCCGTCCCCCCCGATGATCCTGGGAATGCTGAGCATTATCCTGTCCAGGGCTCTGGACCTGAACAGGGCTGCTTTAGAGAGAGCCTGGGAAAGGATCTTGAAAGTTAAGAGTTAAACTCCGGCCAGTTGGACTTTAAGTATCAGGCAGCATTCAAAGCACAGCGGACAAGTGGGATGTGAGAAGCCAGAATATGCAGGCACTGGGAATTGTGGGTGGCATTGAAAAGCCAAATACAAGAACAGAAACATATATTTTAATATATATTTCCATTACAGTCACAAGCACAAATTGTGAGGGGGGAGAAGTGCATCTCAAGAGCAACATATGTGTTATCTCATGCCTCCATCTAAGTATACAAGCATGGGATTAATGTCTATTTAACATAAAGCTGAAAATTTGGTGTACAGATGGTAGGAAGTTGGGCAACAGCATGTGTAGCTTGTAGCATAGATCTGTCTTAAATGAATGCCATCACCTAGCGTTGTTTCTCACAAAATGTTACCCTTCAAATCTGTCCCTAACCCACTTGCAAAGATGCTGAGCTGCCTCTTTAGCACAGACGTACTCAGGAAATTATAGGGCAGTGCGTCTGACCTTAGTCAGGTTAGGTTAGAATCTGGTGACGATAAAATGAGATGAAAGCACAAAGCAGTGGGAGAAATATGAGTTGATAAAAATCAGCCAGTGTGGCTAAATCTTGTCAGACAAATGCAGTGGGGTTTCTCCCACGGCTTTGACGCAGCGAGTAGAGTTGTGCACAGGAGGCGATGGACACAGACACCTGTAAGACACTTGACACAACAAGGCACAGCAGACTGAAGGGTGACATTAGTAGGTACAAAATGTGCCTGGGAGATACCGAAGGAGACAATGTGACTGGCATGTTGAAAAACTCATTGTGTGCAGGATTCACAGCCATGCAGACAGATAATAAGCAGGATCTCACACCACACTGTGTGCAAAATAAATGCTATTAATGCCATTTGCAGGTGGAGAAACAGAGGCCCGGTGAGATGATATAACTCTCCGAAAGGGAGAGCAACAGAACTGGAAGTAATGCTTTCCAGATTAATTTCACTAGTATGATGTACTGTGACTGTTTTGGTACCTGCCTGCTCTAGCCAAGTAGTTGTGGGGAAATGGGAGAGGGGATGAGGATTTACAGAGAACCTCGCTCTATGTTCAGGCAATCTTGCTTCAGAATTTTCTTCTGTTCCTATTTATGGTGATTTTCTTTCTCTTTATGAATCTGACCACGCCTATCTTGAAAGAGAATTTATCATCTTTCAATCTGCTTTTATTGAGGTCAAATGTTAGGAGCATGCTTTTAGGGAAATAGCTTTGACCTCGTTGATTATGTTGTAGCTCTGTCTTCTCTAAAGCTTAGGACGCTGTCTGCTTTATGAACGCAATTGAAATCAGCACTTTTATTCTCTGCTCTCTGTTTGCTCTCTAAAATTAAATGCTCTTGTGGTCTGAGTGGAAGCCAAGAGTGGTAGTATGCAAGACTTTAGCTGCAGCTGGCTGGCTTGGAGACCTCTCAACTTGTCTTCACAAATTTTCTGCCAAGTGGGGATGATAATGCTTCACTCAGATGCCCTGTTCATGCACAGCAGCGGAGCTGGGAAGTGACTTACAGAGATCTGCTGTGTTTGGTCCCTTTGACCCTCTCTGTAAGGGGCATAAACCGTCCATCTGAGCAGAATCCAAAGCCCTCTCTTCAATTCCATACTTCTATTTAGTGAATCAGTTCAGGTTTTTCCATTGTATTTAAAATCTGCTTGTAGATCCCTGGTTTTAGCTGAAGTAAAGCCCAAGTTCATGGTCTGTATTTCTTCACAAATGATCCTCTCAACTCATCACTACTTATTTTTATAGGCCTTTCCTTTTACTTGATAATTCTGTGAGATGTTGGACTTCCACTTACTGAAGACTACAAATTTCTTTCAAAATCTTTTTGTTGATTTTCCTGAATGAATTTTGCCTGCTGATATTCCTTTAAAATTTCCAATGGCAGACCTGACTGAAACATCACTGTGCCAGCAGCTCTGGGGCTTTGTATTACTGGGCCAGTCATGGGCTGCAGGCAACTCACATCAGCGTTATCCATCCTCTTGAGTCCTTACCAGTAAATGGGTTTAACAGTAGGATTTTCACAAGGGGTTAAATACCAGCTCTGTCAGTGAAAGTTTTTGTCTCTAATGTGAGGAAGAACAAGCGAGTATTTGTACTGACCTAACTCTTCATCTCAGTTGTGGCCCCCAGAGCTTTGTGTCACCCCAAGAGCTGCAAAAGGCACATTGTGTGTGTTGAGTGATGGAGGTAACAAGGCAGAGCTTCAGTCACTTCTCTGAAGTTACAGAACAGTTCAGTAGCAGAGCTCGGAGATGTTCCTATGGATGAGCATAGCGAGGTCTGTAGCTCACTGTGCAATGGGGAGGGCAGTAGCTGGAAGAAGGCAGCAGAAGTGCCTTTGTCCAGGAAAATGAGTTTCCAACACAGGCTGAGGAATGCTGGAAAATGGGTTTATCCAGTAGTTCTGTGAAGGTGATAAACGTTAGCAGAAACCTGATGCTGTGCAACCTCTAATTCTGGGAATGATGAGGAAAATCAACGTCAAGGCAATGTCTTCTGTGTTTGTATAGAAATGAAGGCTCTGCCTTGGCCGGGAGTTTGCTTTGGCTTGTGGGCAGTGTTCCCACCATCTCATCTCTGTGGACTTCTGTCAGAAAAGAAACTTCTTACTGTTCTTTGAGACAGGTTGTTTTAAGGGTGCATCTGTCTGGAGAGTGGAAGAGGCATCTGGGAGCAGGCACTTTCAGTGGTCTAAGCCGTCTGTCTGGCAGTGGTGGGTCATTACCCACTGCCAACCACATTTTCCTTGTGTGTGATCAATGCAGGCGTTTACTTTGGTTGCACCACAGGAACAGTATGTGAGTGGGTAAATGATTGTTTAGAATGGCTTCTTTAGTCTCACATGGCCTTTTTTGCTGATACAAAGTGTCGACAAAGGAGAAAGTCCTCCGAAGGGTTACTGTTTCCTTCAGCTCCCACCTGAAGCTTCTCCAACAGATTTGGGCTGCCGTTGAGCTGATGGCTGTGGATGGAGAACACCAAACAAGGGTAGAAGCGAATCCCTAGCAAGGATGTCATGCATGATTCACCCTTTTGTCCTGATGCTGGGCAGCGTTGTGCTCTACGCGTGGCTGGCAAAGCAGGTAAGTGTGCCCATCTGCACATCAAGACCTTTCTACCCTACCCGTGGCCGTTTGGTTGCTGCCCATCGTGCTCAAAATAGAGCTGTCTCTTAGGGAACTCCCCTTCCTCCAGCTTCCAGCACTGGCCTGCAGAGTGGAGATAGTGTTTGCATCTGGTACGGAGCCTTTTGCTGCCTGCAGATATCCTGGATATCGGACACAGCTGTTTGGACAGTTCTCTGAGTCATTAATCCAGGTGAGTATTGAGATAGTTTCCTCCCAATTGTCTCCGTGCTCCCTTGTCCCATGAATACGTCCACGGGCTCATTTTTCATTTGACTGAAGGACGAGGCTCCTTTCAGCTCCCTGACAATGCAGGACACGCAGCATTTGGCTTGGGCAGCGCAGCACAGCTGGCAGACTCCTATTCCTCGTGACCCCCCCTGTCCTGGCAGGAGGACCCTTTCACGGGGCTGTGCTATTTCTGGCCACTCTCAGATTCGTGACTGTGTCCCCTTTTCACACAGGCATTTGAATTCCCACCTCCTGTTGACGTGCTGTGGTGGAGGCTGCCAGCTCCTGCACACGTTCTCTCTGCCCCTCGCTTTGTCTCGCAGGTGAGCGATGGTGGGGCACCACAGCTCAAATTCCACCTCTCCATCCCATTACACTGCTGCTCACCTGCTTGGGAGATGGTGCAAAGGACTCATGTCTGAAACACCGTGAAGGACAAGGCCATCCCCAGGGTCTCCATCTTCCCTGACCAACACAAAGTCATTATTCAAGCCTCTCTCTCTCTCTCTCTCATGAATAGTTCTGATATCATGTTTTTTTGAGCACAATATCATCAGAGCTGCTTTGCCACTTGAGCCCTGGATCCCTGCTCCCTGTCACTTTGCTTTTGCCTCTCCTGGCTTGATTATTGATGAGAGCAATTTGCAGGACGTGCTGCTTTATTTGGTAGGAAGAAGCTGGGTGTACGAAAGAGAAAAGTGTTCCCATCCTCTTTGTAGGAAATTGAGCAATGTGCTTCCAAATCTCTGCACACATGTGCTGTCATTGATTCATGTTTCTGCAGACAACTCTGTCATTTGCATACAAACGACTGTGGGTCTTCCAGGCTTCGCTACACCTCAGTCTGCAGCTGGGCTTCATGTTCATGCTATGGAACATGTTCCTAATCTGTATCTGTCACTGCTACTTAATGAAAAAGCTAAACATCGCTTCTCTTGCAGCCTCCTCTAATGGTTTAATTTTAATTGGCCCGTTGCTGGCTGATTTTCTGTTTAGGCTATGATAAATAAAAGTTAAACATTCAGAACAGATCTCTAGCTAGTGATGTCAACACATTTTGCAAATTTAAATTATGCTTCACAACATCCCTGCGATCTTCCTTCTTCTGAGAGGGAAACTGAGGCAACCGGAGGTGGCCAAGGAAACAGAGAGTCCTAATGTTGTCAGCACGTGGTCCAGTTAACATCTCTGCTCTGAGTTACCAAGGACATCAGTTGAAAGCTCTGGAAAATCTCATTGCAGTGATTTAAGGCAGTCCCATCCGTGCCTGTCTGCTCTGTTCCTCTGCTGGACAGGAATGTCACTGCAGCAGAGACTGAAGGAAGCAGCATGTTCCTGCACGTCACCCCTCCAGTCTGAGCCTCGTGTTTCATTATAAACCTTCTTTTACCTGAAACACCCAACTTTGCAAAGAAATAGTCCAAGTGTGGTAGAATTTCTTCTTTCCTGGCTTTGCGCTGAGGGTCCTCTCATTGGAGAGGTTTCTGTAGGACTTTGTTCCTACAAGTCATTGGAATGAAAATGAAATGGTTCAGTGGATGTAGATATGTAGATATGCTGATTTTATGCTGAAGGGGAATGGTATTTTCATGGTGCTGCTCAGTACCTGAGTTTCTAACATCCATGGATATTAGTAAGGGTTATACTTAAATAAGTGTTGTCTAATAGAAATGCCTGTCCCCTTTAAAAACTGAAATGTGTGATTAGAAGAGTTGTATGGATTTAAGTTCAAGCTGTAGGCTGCACCTTTCATTGCCTGTAAAGGTCGCTCATGTAAGTAGGAATAGCTATTTTGAAGCAACATTAACTGCCAACAATACAGGTTTCATGGATGTTTTTCCTGAATAATTACTTCTCTTGATACTGTATTCAGTACTGCCATTGCCAGAGACCTTTCAAATGGGTGTAACCTATTTTCATAAAAAGGAAGAGAAATGCCACGGCTTAAGACTGGGGGCAGAAAACTGTGATTCAAGACTCAACTTGAGCCAAGGAGACCATTAGGGATGAATTAGCTGCCATTAGTAATCAGGAACAGGCCGCTCACAAAATTCCCCAGACCCTAGAAGCCCATGGATTTCAGGACAGTCTCAGTCTCATGATTGTCTGCAGCGATGTAGAGTCTGTCCTGCCTCTTACTCTGTCAGTACTTTTATCAATGATGGAAGGGCTCACAGAGGATACTGGATAACTGTCTAATTTTTAAGTAAAACGGTTTTATCACCATAGCACTAAAATCCAATAAATTCACAAATGACTTCCCAGCTGTAGTGCTGTAAAAATCCTAAATGGGAATCTGAACTCCATCAGCCCTTCACTTCTTAAAACCAAAATAGATAAATACATTGAAGGGATCAATAACATTTTGGGAAGGTAGGAGGTCTGTGCGATAAAGCTGGCACTTGCTGCTTGGGCGGTGGATCAGTAACAAGGAAGAGCCTAAATAGCATTTTTATATCGCTGAAGCAGCTTGTGAATGCATGAAGCACATCCACAGAGCTTTCTGTTCAAAAGGCAGAGGCCAAAATCTCAGCCTTGGTCATTAAAGCAACCGTCACAGACTGGAAGGGCTGCTCGATTCACTCTCTGAGCAGCACAGCCCATAAAGGAGCCTGTTTGGCTACACCTCTCTCTCAAACCCATCACCAGTGCCAACACAACCATCTTGCTATGGGACACGGGCCGGTTTCGCTGCTGAACAGCAGATGTTCATGCTCACCAGCATCACCCACCCAAGGAGCTGGCTGGGACCTCCTGAGCCTGGGCTGAGTTCCAGGCTGGGGTTGTAGAACTGCTACAGGTTGCTCACTGAGAACGGTAAAGGTGGGGTGTTTGGTGGGGATGGACGGTTGAAGGCATCATCCCTGTGTGACAGTGACTCTGTTTTACTTTGTTTATGTGGCCTTTGATGAAGAGCAAGATAGGAATAAGGGTATAAAAATTTAAGCTTTATGAGCAAGGTGCATGGTTCATGCTGCCGCCTTAGGGAACCTGGTTTAGTTAGACCTGTCAGTGGTCATGGCAGGTGGTCTAGATTTTTGTGTTATTGAGGAAATTAGTAGCTAATTAAAAATTCTTTAGTTAGATTAGTACCAGATGTTTCACAAAGCAGTGTTATAAACATCGGTCCAGCTGCCTTAGCAAAATCCAATTTGATAATGCGGAGTCCTACTGGTCTCCAGTTTGAGAAAACATACTTGACAAAGTTTTCATTTTTGGATTAAGTTTTTGTAAATATTTAAAGATTTATTGGATTAATAGGTCTTTATAATAACTCCAGAAGCACTTTTCTACTTCATGAATACAAGTAGTGTCCTCTTATACACAGCAGCAGCCTCTGAAGATGGATGGCAGCTCTTAGTTTGATTGTCAATTACGTGTTTATACTCTGTTTGACGGATAATTTTTTCATGGTGATTTACTCTTCCTCATAATTAGATATAGCAACTAGAATAGCTTATATATTATGCTGGAATTTTCTTCTAATGATGCTGTAGCTGGATGGTCTCTCAGACACCTGTTCCACAGCAGAGTGAGCACAGGAATTTACACTCCACCACCCCAATGGGTTTTTTTTTTTTTTTTTTTTTTTTTTTTTTTCTTCTTTGAATCATTTGTCTCCTGGTATTGGGGAACTTCCTGGTTTTCCCAGGATATTCCCTGTCCCCAGCTGATGTTTGTTTGTCTTTAAGTTACTTCCTTACAGATCTGATCAGCTGGCTTGCTACCTTTTGCTGGGCAGCAACATCCCTCCTCCTTTGTCTCAGAAAACAGATGCTCTGCCACGTCCCTTCAGTACCCCGAGGAATGCTCTTTCATTTCACCATCAATGCGAAAAAATGGCCAGAGATGGAAGAAACATAGAGGGAAACTGAGCACCTGGCAACATTGGCAGCGCTGCCCGCGGCCGTGTATCCTCTTGTCCTTGGCCTCTTAAAAACAGCTTTCCCTGCTCGCTGTCACAACACAGGTACTGCAGGAGGGGTGAGAACTCCCAGCCAGAGACTGCTGCTGGGACAATATTCAACATCAGGGTTGATAGGCAGGAGAGAGGCATGGCTGTGTGGCTGTTTTCCATGTAGATTTATCAGACAAGTAAATTAACTGTAAACACACATCTCCATAGTGAACGCTTGTGTGTCAAAATGCCCAGTTTGCATGGAAAAGGTGCTAGTATTTATACATACAAATTAGGTGCATGATTTTGCAGTTTAAATGACTGAATGCACTGCTACTCTTACAAATTCTTGCAGTCGCTATCTTCCAGCACAGGGGCAGAACCACAGCCCAAACACAGCCAAAGTCTCATCTCCTTATCTCCAACGCTATCAGAGTTGTGCTGCCAACGTTTTAATGGGGTGCTCCCAGGAAAGGGTCCCGTACCTGGTGGCGAGCTGGTAGTTTCTAAAAGGCAGAGGGATCTGAGTTTCAGGTTACTTCCCACCATCTGGACTGCAGAAATGCTAAGCTGAGGCTGGGCGAAGCACCTCAGATGGGTACCAGCTGGGCTGCACTACTGTCCCTTCTTCACCTGGTGCAAAAGTGATACCTGCATCCTCACCGGGACAGCTGGGGAGCAGCAGAGCCCTGCTGAGGAGGCAGAGACCTGCCCTGAAAGCCTGAGCAAGCAGCAATGAATGTAGTGTTTCATTGCTGCAGCTGCAAAACAAGGCAACTTTCGTAGATTTTTGTCACTGTGCATAGAGCATTGTTGTTCTTTAGCTATAATATGACTTATTGGGTTCCTCTGGACAGGAGGATGTAGCATGTGCACACACGTGTGCATGTACGTTTTCTTCCCCTACCAGCTTCCCTTGGCTGAAGCAGAACCCAGATATCCGTTTTGAAGAGCCACAGTAATTTGGTGTGTTTGTGTTCATTTTCAAGTTCTTTGTAAGAAAAAGATCTCATAAGCTTAATTTCAAAGGTGAAATCTGGAAGACTCGCCCCTATGTCTGGAGG